CTGAAACAGGGCAGCTCTTCAAACTGAAAAATGTGGAAACAAACTTTACAGGCGAGGACCGGAATCACTGGTTACATTCTCACCACATGCGGACGTATTTAGCGGCCAAGCTACAGATTCCTATGAAAGTATCACACCTTTGTTCAGAATGCATCAACAAAGGCAAGTTTGGTAGCTGGTTGCCAGTGTGATGCACTCGTCAGTGGAAACGCAAAAGAGTGCGGTGAAGAACTGTCAATTCCCTCAAACCATTGTATCTTAGACGAACCAATAAAACAGGTAACAAGATCCTTCTGCTCAACCTATGACTGGATGTCGGATAACGTGTCTATTCAGGAGTCGGAAGCCTAAAACAGGTGACAAGATCCTTCTGCTCAATCTATGACTGGATGTTGGATAACGTGTCTATTCAGGAGTCGGAAGCTTTGCGGCGTAGCCGCCAGGGCGTTTGCCAGAACGTACCAGAGGATCGAATGGATAAGAAAAGTATCCGCGTGAATCCTCCTGGAATTTGTTGGGTTGTCAATCCCGGGGTATCGATGAGGTTTACCCTCATATCCTCAAAGATTTATCGGACAATTTAACCAGCCAGTCGCAGTATCCGTTTCGGAAGTCACTCGACGCAAAGCGTTTCCTACAGGTTGAAAAATATCCCTGATTAAGTGGAAAAAAGCTGCCTCTGCCAGTTGCACTACATTTTGTCTGGCACTCAGCTAGTTCATTGAAACATTAGTCAAGGGGACAATTCAGCTCCGTTTTCAAACTTGCAACTCATGTGTACGTGAGCAGCACTGGTCTCGCTAAAGCGAGTAATGCATTTGTGACCTGTTTTTTTTTCAAGGGACACGTAGGAGGAGGCTTTGAACAGTGATGCATTTTGGGCAATTTAACATCTCTTGCGCAGGCTTTCCACGTAAGATATTTCAGACAGCGTTCCTTCCTGTATAGCGAGCTTTCAAATCGGCCGGGTAATGCGCTTAACGGTGAATCAAGATATTTCAGCCAGGATCAACTGTGGGAGTAGCACCTGTTTTTTTTCAAGGGACACGTAGGAGGAGGCTTTGAACAGTGATGCATTTTGGGCAATTTAACATCTCTTGCGCAGGCTTTCCACGTAAGATATTTCAGACAGCGTTCCTTCCTGTATAGCGAGCTTTCAAATCGGCCGGGTAATGCGCTTAACGGTGAATCAAGATATTTCAGCCAGGATCAACTGTGGGAGTAGCGGCCTGCAAGGCCCTGCATAACACTGAAAACTTACTCAAGTTATATGCGCATGATCTGTTGCAACATCTAGTGATGTCCCTTGCCTCATGTATGCAGACGTTTGCGAACTGGAACGTCAACACCTAGTAAGATGTCATGGACACACACATCAGAGAAGGCTTTATATGTTCTTTTGGCTCCCCTGTCGACATTTAACATGTAGAATAGTCTCTCAGAGTTCAATAAATGGCTGGATGATAAGCTTTAGGTAACATCAGGCGAGAGCAGCCCCTTTTTGGACAATGATTTGCTGAATGCAACAATGCCAGGACGGAGCTGCACTCTCCAACAAAAACCACGTATGATCAAACGCAGCCATATTTCAATTCTCATGGTTGTTAACAGCTCCGCAAACAGTTGATTTCCAAACACACTTGGTGGTGATATGAATGAGCCTCCCGCCCGGAAGAATCAAGTGCTGATCGTGAGATTCACATGTTTTTAAGTTATTGTCTCCAATTTGTGGTAACGGTTTTTGCCCGGTATTCTACAATATCCTGGTGTTATTTTCGCTTAAATTGTGTCAGTAACTCATCGTTTAGGAGATGGCTTTACTGGTGTTAGTCACGTTTCCCCTTTCGGTATATTGAAAGTGATAATTCATGTGATAATTTTTGGTACCCTCTGGTCATCTGCCATAGCACTTCGTATCCACTCATCCTACATTGACGGGACCCACCATTTTCTCTCTGTTCGATTGAGTTCGTAGAATTCAAACGGGAACGTAAATATGCCAAATTCTTATATGATAATCCGGAAACTGAGGCTTGATTACACAATTTCGATTCATCATCATCATCATCATCGACTTGTTTACTGAAAATCTTCTGCGTTATTTCTGAAAAAAGGAGCTCCAAATTCATCTGAACGTGGATTGATTGCTACCTCAAAACATCGTTTCAGCTAATGAAAAGTCTAATATTGGTAGTGCGAGGGGATTTGACAAGTTACAGGTGAGAGTTCGACAAATAAGAAACCAAGAAATTGAGGGATGAGTGGTGCCACATCCTGTCCAAATGCGCTACATTGCTGATCAGCCGCCCTTGACCTTCAGGAACCAAGCTATTAGCGGGGAGGTTGTGGATTCGAAGCGATTTGGAGTTTCCNTCCTGCTGACACTACGAATAAAAAGGAAACAGCCGTACAGGTGCTTGTTGCTTTTTAGGACAGATTGACTTCAATTAATGGACGAAATCCTAGTTGCAAAGTTTATTCCTTAGGAAGCTATGATAAAGTGAATGTAGACTGTGGACTGAATAAATTATTCATTAGCATTCTATTTAGTCTGTGTGGTTGTTTCAAACCGGAATGTTGTTGATGCCATTCTTTCCCCGGGCTAGGACCCACAGTTTAACCGAAGTTATTAAATTGTTTATTGGCCAACTTGTACCAGTAGCGCTGGTGCTGTTTTTCTCTATCCAAACTGTACTACCAGGTGTTAGAAGTATGAACTTGTCGGGTATTTGTGACAGACCATTTGAGACTATTATGCAATTAAAGCAGTTTTCTTGTTTGCATCTTCCTTGACTGATAATCTCAGTAACTTCATTGCTCCTCTCCGTTTCCTGACTAAGGTTCCCTCTTAATAAAGGATTCACCCTATCATTGTTGCAGCTAAAACATGGTTTATGATTGAGCAATTGCCTTATACAGTTGGCCATTCGTGGTAACTGCAACACACTTATTCGTGAACTGGTCAGTCACATTAAGCCTCATCTGTATTTTTAGCAAACCCGCCGTTCACTCAGTACTACCAGCTCTGGAATTTGGTTAGATGGCTACACGGTGAGGCGCATCGAATGTTCATCAGCAGAGATGATCGATGAGGCAAATCCCAAATTAGATGAAAGGGGAAGATTGATATTTCGTCGCAAGCGTCCCGATTTGCAATCATCACTGAGTACAGGCAATCAGTCACCGTGTGAGTTTTTTTGGTCATCATGATAACCATCTGTGGTGCTTTTCCTATAGGTTAGGTTACGCAGGTTAGATACGTCTTGTACATTCATTCTACCTCATTATGTTTGCCAAGCGAATATACATGCTCGTTTCTTTACATTGATGCTCCCCGAATTGAAAGGTAGACTGAGTCAGCTTCGCGTTTGTTATGTGAGTTAATATCACAAAATATCTTACTTACCAAGAAACAAATGGATCTTCAAGTGGGGGCTGCGTTTATTCCATAACTTGTTTTTCAAACCCAAGTTATAAAACAAAGTTCGCTGCAAACGTGTTTTCAAACTAAGTGGAACAAGGGAGGATAAGATCTCTTATGTTCAGACAAACCTCGTTTCCTGGGCGACCACGTCTCGGTACCGCGAATCCTGCCAACGGGCTTCTCATAGGACAGATATCCGAATCGATAAATAAAACACCAACAACAAAAAGAAGCCTCCCCTAGTAAAGGAAGTAAAACTTCGTGAAAATTGCTTATAGACTGCTTATCCCCGTGAGACACTCAAAAATAGCACATAATAGACCTTGACATCTTTAAACAAGTTACCACTCGGGATATGTAACATGTCACTTAGCCTGTCTGATAGCATTTTCACACACCTGGCCTGGTGGAGCACCACATGATAGCCTAAATCGAATCCGAACTGAGTGCGACTATATTTTCCGAGATAACCGCAAAAGTTATTGCTGTATTACGCCTCGGACAAATTTGTGGGCCCAAAGCAAGAATACATTACCTATTGACATTAAAACTGTTTGCTTCCTTCAGCCTTCCTTTCGCTATATTCCTCTCCAAATAGATTGGTCAGATTTGGTTGGGCTTTGAAAATTTCTGTTGAAACGCTTTCAAGACTTGTGGAAAATTCCAGGACCGGTTTGTACCTCTTTCTTCAATTAACCTATCACTACTTGAGTGGTAAAAAAATTAGTCAGACTGTATCTTCGTGATTTACCGACAACATCTACCCGACTAGTGGAGAAAAGTTGGCGGTCCGTTATCACGGGTTTAGTCAGACTGTATCTTCCTGATTTACCGACAACGTCTACCAGACTGGTGGAGAAAATCACGGTTGAATAACCGATAAAAACGAGTTTATCGCACTGGATTTAACACAACTGGCTCTTATTTACTGGCCAGGATAGTATTGGTAGCGTAGCGCAGTACACCCGACTCACCATTTATTTTGAACAGTCTAAGGACAGAAAAGTCACAATGTGAAAATTCATGTGGGTGTATATATTTGCTAACTTTATTGCTGTCATTGTTCTTGACCATTGTTTCTGTTGGCCTATTTTTCTGCGCTGCCATCTCCGGTGTCATCACGTGACAGCGGTGGCCTATTTTTCTGCGCCACCATCTCCGGTGTCATCACGTGACAGCGGTTCGAACAAACGGTCGATACGTGAAGATTCCTCATGAAGCAGCTGGTTGCCTCTGAGTATATAACCGCACAATGCACCTTTATGATAAATTATACAGTGGGCGAAATGATCTAGCGAACAACCCGAGGATCTCTCGTAAACCGAATCGTCTTGATTCCGAAGACGAAATCCGAATGCGCATAACTCGTGAGCTCAGACGACATTCAACCACCGTGATGACCCGAAGCGAGTTTGGTGAATCGCTCGAAGAGATTGGCCGACACTTGAGTCGTTTACTTGAATTGGGTTGGCCTATAAGTAGCAAAACTAACAAAATACTAGGATTGCGTCCAAACAGGCGGGGGCAGCGTAAGATCTATCACAGATGTCATGGAAAATCATCACAGGTATTTCAGGGTTCTTCGAATAAGGAAGAAAAAACTGAACAGTCGGGAGTGACCCTATTACGGATTAGCTCGATGCCTAACGAGGCCCGTATTTTCTCTTCAAACGGACATAACCGTGAACCATTTCATGGCAAGACCAAAAGCAAACGATCCAGTTGTGACCACAGCTCACGCTACTCCAGTGCTTCTAACAGTTCTGACGCATCTTCGCCACAATTTACAAACAGCGGACATCGATCACCCGGAGAATTTTCAAACGATAATGAATCTAACAATCTTCCAGAGTTCCACTCGGATCTACCTAAAGTGACCAAGACGCCATGCAGATCTATTCTAGCTCGAACGGATATCAGCTGCAAAGGTGAAAAAGATATAGAATGTGAGGAAATTGGCGATGGTATTCGATGCAAGCTTCCTTCATCAAGAGGTCACGGAACGGTTACTGTGGAATTGAAGAAGGGTAACAAAGACCCCGCGCCATGTTCAGGCACCATGTTGCAATTTCGTATTCGTGGTCAAGGAAAACCTCAGCACAAATCCGAAACCGATAAAGCTATACAGGTGAGCGACTACCCGGAAGAAGCACAGAGAGATTTTTTGCGTGAAGATGCATACAGGGCTGCTGAAGGAGGAGAACAATCTGGCGAGTTTTTGTGGGAACCGGTTGGAGAGAAAAAACGCAAGCCGCGACCTAAGCCAAGATTTCAAAATGTTGTAGGCATATCAACTTGTGGAAAGCATAATCATCGCAATGTTTCTTCACCTGCTAAGAAACTACGACCAAAACAAGAGCGAAACAAAAAACAAGGAAAAATCGACTGGTGCGACCCACTCATTGGTAGGGCTGGTTACGAACAAGGGGTAATACACCAAGTAAGGGACAAACACAGAAAAGAAGGGCAAACAGCCGACCTTGACGACAACTTGCTGGAAACGCTGGAAGAAATGTTCAATGAAATGTCTGAATATGGAGGATTAACTCAGCCTGATAAACAGAAGAAATACACCGTTGACAGAACGATGAGGCCAGTGTCTCCCGATACCATGAAGATAATCAAAGAGGTTGAAAAGATGGATGTGTTGGACAGCATATCTGGACATGAACTAGATCGCGAACTTAAAAGAGAATTAAACAATCCACCAACAATTACAATACCAGTGCAGGACGATAGAAAACCTCCAACTGATCCTGTACCGAAACTAACATCTCAGTCGGTGGACTGTACAAATACGTGGCAACCTATACTGGGACCACCACAACAAGCATCACAGCAACTACCATACCAATCGACACAGTTATCACCACATCAACTAGTTCAGCAACCACCAAACGCGTATGTAAACACTCAGCTGGCGGTAGGTGATCTACAGTCACAACCCAACTGCCCAACCTTTCTTTCATCCATCTCCTTATAGTCCCGTTCAGAATGGGCAACTACAACCACAGTCCCCAGTTCTACCACCATCCTTACCGCCTCAGCCGCCATCCGCAATACCTGTAGCCCTGGCGCCCCCTTTGCTAGCTGTACCTCCAGCAACGCTTGCCCTATCGCCCCCAACACTTGCCTTAGCAGCACCACCGCAAGCAGCACAACAACCAATAATCACAAACAACTGGATATCGCCCTCAGTAGCAGGTGTCCCATCAGTGAACATTGTACATTCACCTGCATATACACCAAGCCTGTTATTGCATCACTCACATCCAACAAGCCCAATGTGCACAAACGTCATTTTGCCTTCAGTTAACCATCCAGTTTTGCATTCCACAGTAGTGATGAACAATGGTATGCATCTAATGAGACTTCGTCCTTTTTGATCAAGTTCCATTTCTTGTTTTATTGAGTTATTATTGGGAATCCTAATTTTGCATTTGTTTTCGATGAACGATCGATCATTTCAGTTGTTTGAGCCCATGTTCTTGAAAGAAAAAAAACGCCGAGCTACGAAGAAAAACAATTATAAACAGAGGATGCGATAGTGTTTCGGTGACAATTTACAACCAATGAGCTCGATCTTGTCACCCGGGTTGTCTGTGATAAGTGTCCGGTTAGACGACATTCATTCGTCTTCCTTCAGTGGGAACACCAGTTTGGAACGAATATGTACAGTAATCCTTCCCAGAGGTCCAACATGTTCTTCAGTAGCCGTTAATGAAGTAAGACTTTTAATCTGTAAAACAGGTTTATAGTTCAGTCCGAATATCTTGCGCAGACTACTAATGTGTGTGAGTAGACCAGTAATCTCCATTGAGTTTGAAGAGATTTGGGGATTTCAGTTAAGAGTTGGTCTTGTAGGTGAAGCCAATCTACACTGAAAAACCGGCAACCAGTGTACAACTATTTACTTCTAATTCCACATCAGTGCGCAGCTCACGAGACTCTAGGGTTTTTCAACCTCCCGGCTAGAAGTTGGGACCCATACTGTCCGGTCGACCACGGGCTGGATTGATTCACATTTAGACAGTATATCGTACCACTCATGGAGTTCATGTCAAGTGTTGACTGACTGCTTGAGTAACAGCTTCTCAGATGGAAGGCCTACTACTTGTGTGAATTATCCTTCTTCTTGAGCTAATTACAGTTTGTTGACAGTGTAGACCAAATACTGTAGGCGCATTTTTCTCGCACACAGTGAGATTCTTGTGAGATGACCTCTTTTCCAGTTGAACTCTGACACTATCATCCTGCTCTTTCGACATTTCCGCTCGCAGTTTTTCATCCTGAAGTTTGCCCCTCCTTGAAGTTCCACTTATCCTCCGCCAGGTAGATTGCATCTTATGTGTCTAGGCCAGATGACCGTCACTCTAGCCCCGAGTACATTGTAGCCGCCGTCGTTCATCCGTCGATTCATTCGCGAACCGCGCCCACTACAAAAGTCAGAGGGCATAACAGCGTTGCTACACCCGACGACCACGTGAATCTGGTGATTTATGATCTCAGGCCCCTCTGAGTAGGTGTATCAAGCGGCAACCTAGGACCAACTGAGCTTAAGCGTCTTTCGGTGGGAAAAATTTAGTGCAAATACATACGGGAAATACAGGAGATAGAAACTGATGGTGGAAAATAACAAAGGTAAATTCCATCCTATGGCTCTCTCAGATAACCTCAATATGGTCCTATGATGAGGAAGCTGGAAGACAAGCTTAAGGTTACAATGCTACTTCTAGGCTGCGCAGCTGAAGGCGAAACGTTTTCCCAGTCTCACCAACAAATACATCAGTCTGATGAATTTGCCTTTAACCATTCCGTTGACAACCTATTTCTTCTCAGGCGATGAGCAAACTTGGTACAAACCGCTGAATTTAGACGCTTTTGACTAGAGTATAGCCAGTCGTTCGAAGTGATGTTTCACAACGATTCCACCACAAAATTAGGCTCCACAGTTTGTACTTCAAATCGCGATTAGGATGAATTGACTTTTCAGCCAATAGCGACTTTAAATTACGTTGCTCCTCTACTGTAGACACGAATATAAAATAACGGAAGGTAAGCATGAGCTTCAGTGACGCGTCGTATCCCTGTAGTGAATTAGAAACTGCAAAAGTAACGACATCGTCAGTTTGGAAAAGCAGTTGGATTCGTTCTAATTCGTAATAAGCATTCCTACCAACGAACATCGTTGGCCTTCCATCATATGTAAGCTATTACTCCCATGATGTTGGCTACCTGTCTGTGACACAAATTCCTGAAGCAATCGCTATCAAAGACATACACTACCATTCCAAATATATATCTGAGTGTCCTGTGTAAAGTATTGTGTAGCATCACAAGAATAAATTAGATATCTGGAGACAGCTTAGGACCAGAATTACTCACCAGATGTTACCCACATTTCTGTTCAGCACCAGGTTCATCATCATCATCATCATCATTCATCATCATCATCATCATCATCATCATCATCATTAAGAACCGCGTACTGGTACGGTGGTTGTGGCTACCACAATTTCGTCCATGAATGATTTGGGGAGTTGGGGTAGGCAGCTGAGCATTGGAGGTGGGAGCTGATAAATTGGTGCGAGAACACTATGTAAAAGCACTGAAAATGTAACCTGTAAAACGTTAAATGTTTAGTCCAGTAACCCGTAAACATTGTGCCCACTTTTCTGTGTGCGCTGATGTCCCTGTTTTATCACGGATAATTTAAACAACTACACCATCAGTGTTTAAATGTGCTTCTCGCGAGTCATTTCCTCTCTAACTCTCTTGGTTAAGTGACTACCGTTCAGTCACATTGCAGTTGTGGTCAAATGATGTTGATCCATAACAGGGAGCGGACATAAAATCTCAGAAGCCCGAGGATCCTAGCGGTTGTTATCGTACTCCACCCTGTGTTCAGATCCGTTTCGTTTGTCACAGCGTTTAGAAACACGGTTGAAAATTTGTCATATAAACATCATTAGAAAAGCTGGGAAAAATTTTGAAAACGTTGATGAAATCTTTGCTGGCACATACTAGGCGAACAGTGATATGCGTGACGACAACCCTAAAGGTTCAAGGGGACCTGGAGCCAACCATAGGAATCAAACAGTTGTGTAAACCAGGCTGTTAGGCTTGCTCAAATCTCCTAGAGATGGTTATAATCATATCTGAGCTTCGACCAAACGCGAAAAACTAGCATGTGTGATAAAAGACGCCGTATTTGAATTCGAGAACATATTTCAAAAACAAAAACTGAGCATCCTAATGGTAATAAAAAAGCAAGTCGATTCCAAGGAAAACGGATGTTAGAATATCAAACAATGGACTTGTGACTTGCCACACCTTCTAATACGGGTTGCTATCCAGTTTGCTTACTCTTGATAGAGCTTTTTGAGCACTGTGTTTGTTTGCAAATCTACTCAGGCCCTCTTACAAGAAGTAATTACCAGCTTCTGGTAAAAATCAGTGACTGGTTTTGGCTTGAATACCCAAACTTACTTGAATAAAATCAAGTCTTGGTGCCTAAAATAGTTGGTTCGTTTTGGCAAAGTAGTCCCCCAACTTATTTGATTTTGATTGTAACGGAATTCCTGATTCTCAAGTTCAAAGCTTACTTCTTGGTAGGTACGACTCCGGTCGACCTTATTTAAACGGTGACTTTTAGGATCCAAATTCATCATTACAACAGAGTAATAGAGATGAAAATAGACTTATATGAAAAGAAACTGGGTTTTTGATCGTGTTTACGCCTATGATCAATGTGGTCCGTAAGGCAACTTATAGGTGAAAGTAAAGCTTGGTTCAAACTGAAAACGTCAACGGTCTATTTTTGAACTGGTACTGAACATTTCTCAGGTACGTTTCATTCAATTAAAAAAACGTTTACTGTTGTGTATCGTGATAGATTTGATGCTATCGGATCACCCATGCAGCATCCCTGTTTTCCTTCTAGTAACCAGAACATTATCCAAGCAAACACAGAATATGACCGCGACTGTGAAGCTCGCACCCCCGAAAATACCGGCATTTTTCGCAGTCAGGCTAGGCAGCAGTGAAGTGGGACTCATTAAAAATCAGGATGTGTGTCGCTTAGAACCTCTATCGACCGCAGATGGTACTGTCCCTGTGGCATTGATGCGTGCCTGTCTCGAACAGGTGACACTGCTTTGTCCCAAGTGGTCGACACTCAGTTTAGAGCAGCGTCAGCGATTCGCAGTGAATGAACAACTCGCTTGGCTCCAACAGTGTGTTAAGTATATCTCGACCAAGTTCAAATGTGCGGAGGATATCTTTGACCTAGACTGCAGCTCTTTCAATGCTGATGAGGAAATCGACACACTTGATCAGTTTATCTACCACTTGTTTCAACATTTGCAAAAACTGGGTTGCAGATTCTCCGAATACACAAATTCAGTGCTTTACAGAACAACTCTCTTGTGCCTTCAAACCATTCTTCAGTGTGCCCTGGAGCGTCTGAAGCATATCCATCAGCGTTCAACTGAAAGACCAGCCTCTTCTCTCATTCACCAGTCTGTGGGTTTGGCAAAAGATGACAGTGCTTGCTCAACTACAAGAAACGAACAACAGGCAGATGCAGTGACGTTTGATCCGACAATCACAGATTCTTACCTTCCAACAGTACCAGCCGAACTGGTATCTGTCAAAATCTCAAGTACGCAACATATCAACTCAGATGAAACAGAACTGAAGTCCACCAATCCAGCTTCATCGAACCCATTCACATCAATACCTCCAAAAGACCAGGGAACACAGACAAGCTGGATTCCATCGTTCAGCATTACCTCTGAGGAGAAGCGTCTTGAACTAAGCACCCTTGATCCTCATGTCTCACTGATGACCAGCTCGTCCATACCCATTTTATGTGGTCCAGCTGAACACATGAAGCATATCCAACATGTCGACTCGATTGACAAAATGACTAAGCCATGGGAACAGGATGAACGTTGCACTTCTGTTGAGTTACTTTTTACTACGGCTAACATGAGACCATCGTTGGTCGATCGGTCTGATGAAGATAGGCCAACTTCAGAACAATCTTCTCGAATGTATGCGACACAAAGAAGTTCATCAATTCCACGATCTCCAAATAGGAACGCTTACTACTACCTGACCTTTGTGCCTCCAAACTCTAAGTATGGTTTCGATGGGATGCAGGAATTAACGGATCTACCGGCCTTAAAAGCTGGCTCGCCAACTGATCGCTGTCATGAGACTCAAGATGTTGCCTTCATGCAGAAGACGGGAGCGGCAAAACTGATGACCACATGCGGCGATACGGAGCTGGGGTCGACAACAGACAAAGAGAATCAGCTGGATCGTACAAGCAGTATGACTGTGCACAAGAGACTTGTGGGGAAAATTCTGGCCTTGACGCATAAAGGACTGACACTTTATGGAAAAACAGTGATTCCTCTCGTAACACTGGGTGAGGACCAAAAAATATGTCATCAGGTGGAACACCTTCTAGACCACACAATGGCAACAAGTCTGACAAAACGGATGAATGAACTGTGTGAGGGTACCTCCTCTATGCAGCTTAGTCAGATTGTGACATCGGCTCCAATCAACATCGAACTGCTAATGGCCAAGAAGTTACTGGAACTTATTCCAGATGTGAACTTTTATTATTCGAACGAAACCATACCTGAAGGGCCTGGAGAGGCGAGGGTATTCACGTTGCTCCATCAGATTGTTCAGACTGTTTCTGTGAACCAAACCCAAGGTAATTCATCAGACGGAGTTGCTTCGAATGTCGCCAAAAATCTGTCTCGAGGTTTACTGGGCTTGGCATATTCAGCCTCCTGTTACGCAATGGATCATTTACTGGAAACGAAAGTGGACACCGAACTCAGGACATGTGCCAGACAGCAGGGCTGGAAGTACGGTTTGGAAGGAAGCAGACTAATAAGCTCTTCTACCTATTCGGACAGTCAACCAACAACAATGCAGACTATCGTCACTTCAAACGTTTCTCCGGTTCAGGGCCCATTTAAAGGTCCCAACTCATCCATCACTGTCCAGCGCGATTCTCATTTATCAGAAGCGATCCGTCCATCAACGGCTATGAAAGAGCAAGAATTAAGCAAAAAGGGAAACGGAGCAGAGTCCAGCTACTCAGTAATGTCATACTGTGCAAGAAACCTGAATTCTCAAGATCTAGAACAACGGGTTGCCGAAGCCGTTAACCCACGAAACGAGTGCCTGAGCCCAACCAAATTTCATTTGCCAGCTGAAGAACAAAGATGTGTTGTTGTCAGCTGTACGGACAGGAATTGTTTTAGCCCCCAACCACTGACGCAGCATGGACCCCACAGTACAGAACAGAGAGCACAGCATCTCCTATCCGCCCAACGTTCACCGTCTGAATATGCATCAAATAATGAGAACGATGGGAGCCCTTCGTTGAGTTCCACCTACACAGAACCCCAAGCTGATGCATCCATGAAAGAAGTAACTGTGGGAAAGGATAATATGTGCGTTCATATGACTTTCTCTGTGACTGCTTTGAAGGACACCACACAATGTGTACTACGTCCCTTGACCATAAAAACTAGGTCAGGTAACTCGAAAAAGGAAACCTACACTAGACTAACTTCAAACGATAAAAATGAAATCGTCTTCTGTGAAGCTTGCTCACAACAACTGAGACCATATTTGTACAGGCAGTTAGAAGATGGAGCATCTGTAGATAATCCGTTTGGAATCGAAGTAGGTATTCAGTGTAATCGGTTCTCTTCAAGGTCGAGATCCCGCCAAAACAGATCTAGGTCTTCAGTGAACAGGTCAGCTGGAAGTTCTTCTCGGTTCAACCTAACTGCAATGTCTATGGATGATCCCGGAAGAATGGACCCGCCTACCTTGAGCGCTTGTGTGAGTGCTATTCATGTGAGTCTCAACGAAGACAACGAGAATGACAATATTTGTTCAACCGATGGCTCGGGGAGAAGTTCTGATGATGACGATGCACATTTCATGAGGAACCGTCACGTGCGTCATAGAGGTTTTCGGACGGACGAAGTTACCAGCACTTCGTCAGTAATTTACCGGTCCGTTTCTGTATCAGTTCAGGAAATCCAAGGCAATCAAGATAGAGTGGCGCGTGAACTCCGAGTATACCCAAACTGGTTAACTGATAAGCTGAAGAAAATAGATGTCTCTGAGGACACATGGGTGAGAAGCAGGAGACTTACCAGAGGAACGGAAGTTCCTTCCATCTCCAAACCGCGGCCAAAAGGGGATACGTTACTGCAAGAAAAGTCGCTCTGCGCTAAGAAGCAAACCGGCCAAAAAACAAAGCTATATTGGCAATCGAGAAAAGAACAAACGGCAAGCATACGTGGAGATGGAGGCTGTCGGCACTCTGGTAGATCAAGATTTAACTACTCAGCGGAGCATGCAAGCTATCCAGATGATTTCTCGGTTCCAAAGCAGACCTTTGTTGGACAGAAAAAGTCGGCCGACCCAACAGAGCCCTTCTATTCGTGCCTTCAAGAACTGAAAAAGTGTTTAAGAGAAGCTGAATCTCGTCTAAGTGAGTCCGATTTTCGATGGATCTATTAGATGATGCACTTGCCTTAGCAACCGATGTCTATATTGCAAAAGCTTCAACATACTTCCGATTGGACAATTTTTCCGCCTTCTGTTGATGAACCACAAGCTGGCGATGACTCACTCTGGAGACTTTGCAGATACCTTACTGGTGACCTAATTAACACGTTTCAGTTCAAACTCCATCACAAAAATAAGCATATAAAATGATGGAACTGAAATCTAACTGATATCTAGACTGGTGAGCGAGAACTCGCATGTTTTGGCTAGCAAGCGGTACTGGTACTGACTTTCTCTCGGCACCCATGGACCAAAGGTTCGCAGCATTCAAATGCAATGTACAAGACTACTCTATTTTGTAAGTAGCTTGACATAATCCAAAGGATGATGGAACGCACTTGCCTCTTAGGTCGGGCAGCCAGGGTTTAAATACCGCTATTTCTAGGAGACTTAAACTAGCCCAAAAACTGGACTCAAGTGATTTTCATACTTGGCATGGAATAATCAGAAAAGCCGACTCATCATAGTGAACGGGATGTTTAGACGAGAGTGATGTGGACACAAAAAACTTCCTGGTTGATGATAAGAGTATGTCGTGCGACAAAGGTGGCTATGACTAAACCTCGTCCATTTTTGTTAGTTCCAGACTGGAAAACCGTCAGATGCATAACACGATTTGGTTTCCCCCACTAAATAACCATATTCTGGGCGCCGTAAAAACTCACATCATGATTTGAACGAACAAAAGGAGATTTGTATGAATTGTCGCTGTCATTCTGAGACTCTGTCAGCTCAGAAGTTTTGTTTGGTGTAGGATTTTCAAGATACAGCCCTGACCGATATCCAGTGTTTTTGTGCAAAACGGAACCCATCCGAGTTTTATAGGTGCTTGTTTTAGGATGTATACGCCTCAGTGCCTATCATGCCCATTCGGGTCGATCGTCCCAGACAACTGGAGTGAATCGATAGTGGTGTCCATTTTCAAAAAGGATACTCGCAGTGAATTTAATAACTACAGAGATGTCAGTTTGACTGACAGTTTGGCTGTCAGTTTGACTCCTGTTATAACAAGGCCTCTGGCTTCACTGATTCTTCGTCGTCTTACGGTGGCACGCAAAATCTTGACCCATGAGAATCAAGCGGGATTTCGACCGAAGAGGCTGCGTTGACCACATCTTCACACTCCGTCAGGTTTTAGAGCCAGGCCACTTGTACAGACGACCCACAATCTTGGTATTCCTTGGCTCCATGCATGCGTTCGATTCTGTCGATCGACCAGTGCTGTTAACTACACTTGCTCAACAGCGTATGCCCCAGAAGTTTGTAAACATAATCCGATCCATGTATTCACATACTTCTGAGTGGGTGAGTATGTATGGTGAGTTTTCCAAAAGCTTCCCTACAAAAAAGTGGTGTCAGACAAAGATGTCCACTGTCTCCATTCTTGTTTAACTTCGTCACTGGTGAAATAACGAGGCGAGCACTGGATGTTCTTCAAAACTCCGTGACTTATTGTGACTTACTGTACACCACCAAGGTGGAGTATCCCCTAGATGGGTCACCCAAACTTTTTCCTCTGTTGTAATTTCTGCGCATGCACGTGAGTGCATTTCTGAAGAAGACAGACCTATTCAAAAGAACATTACCACATGATATGCTGTTTATAAGATTGTTTTAAACTTTGGAGCATTACTTTACCGGTTTCGCCCGTCCTGGTATTCATTAGATAGGCATGGTCTTCGGGTTGCCGTTAACCGGTCAGTCAGCTGATTCCCAGCTAAAGCTGTGATTTGTGCTACTCCCCAAAATAACTGGCAGGATCGAGGCTACCACTCACACCACTTTTTACGATATTCGAGAAATTGATGTACATTTTCTTAGTATAACATACCACTTATAAGATTGTCGAAGACAATGGCAGATAATTTACTTCGATATCTCGAATATTACACTAGTGCAGGCTTCAGGAAGCATACTCAGTTGAGAAATACCACAGGTGAGGGAGACATTTAGTATTCTAACGCATACTTAATGTGTAGAAGATTGTATTCGGAAATTATCGGTTATTCTTTACTTTACAGTCCACGTTTTTACCTAGCAGACATATATGGTTCATGAATCCAAAGGTAACTTTTATGCCCTCCAAAATCAACTGCCCGTGGATACCCCAGAAGTACGCATTGACTCAAATCTCCTACATTAAATTTTGCTGCATACGGGGAAAGCCGGTCTGCCGAAATTTTTTTCAAACGCCGGTGATGAAGTTGAAGGTGATATCGCGTGCAGCAGAAAGGAAACTGTTTTAATTGCACTGTATTAGTAGACTACTTAAAACACGTAAGTAGAGGATTGGGATCTGAATGGCCAGAAGTCGATGCAAATCACTAAAACATCGTCCGACTTTGGACCTGAAAATGTTGTGCACCGGCTTATTAGGCTCAATTTCGCTGATTATTTTAAAAGGGAAACTTTCCCATACAGAATCGTAGTGCATTCAACAGTTTCCTGCATAAAGGTAAAAGACTAAAAACGTCGTTCTACTTTCTGTCTTACAGAAACGGTCCATAACTACTCCGGTCAAAGTATTAAAATAACCAGGACCAGACCTCGAATTGTGCCCAGACAAACATCAAAAAAGCCAGTGGGGATTGAAGCCCGGCAGAAAACACACAGGGGTAAGCCTGAACGTCTAAAGCAATGGCCGACATTACCAGATGATTCTAACTACGATGCATCCGCTTTGGGAGGAAGCAGTGGAGGGGGAGGAGAAAGCACAACTTGTGACAGGCTTCCTACGTGCTCCGAGAGAACGGCTCCAACAAGCAGTCACAAACAAGCAAGTACCATGAAAACCGAACAGAAAGAGGACGTTCCGTCTGCTAGACAACTGCGAAAATCTTGCTTTCGATCCACTTTACATCATTCCATTGGCCCACCATCAACTGCTCGATGGACAGTGGATGACATACGGTCTAGAGGACCCAAATTTTTCCCAGCACCCTCAATGGAACTGCCTGTGCGAGGCACTTCCAATGAACCACGGATCCCTGTGGGAACTCAAATGTCCAACTGCTTGCTCTACGTCAAACATCAGGGGAACAAGCCCTTGTGCGGGCCCTTGATATCCGGACAGTACACTCTACATAACACGCTATCCAGGTCTTCATTTGGTCAAACTAGTAACATGGCTGCTCAGAACACACCGCGTCTCTGTAAGAAGGTTGCCCACAGAATGGAATAGGTGAAGTTTCTCGAAAAGTGCGAACACCGAGAAGAATGCGGTTGCCGTAATAGGCCACCTCCGTTGCCCGAAGTGGGAGTCATCTTTTGATACTCCTCTCTGTGGTTTAATAAATCTGGAAACTCACTGAGTTGTTTTCATTGCTGTTTGGCTTTTTTAAGTATAGTAAAATGGTAGGGTGAAATAGAAAAAATATTCACTTTCGTCCGGCTGGAAACAATAGGTTAGCAAAATATTCTCATGACAATTTCAGTGATGAGTTTCTTATCAGTTGCATCCCCTTCCGAGGCGACTGCTGCTTGGAGCCGCCTGAATCGGTGAATCGAAAAACCAGAAGAAGGATGCATGGTAGTTAGAAAGACGGTGGTGAGGGTATTTGATTATTCGTTGACCGAATGACCATCTGCAAAGTGTCGCATCACGATTTAATCCAAGCAGTTGAGTGTAACGGAATAACTCATGGTTTTGTACCCGACAGTAAAATCAGCTGACTACGTTTCGATAGTGACGTGGCCAGATCTTATGCCAGGAGTTGTAGATATGAAAACCAACCGGAACCCGCACACTGTTGATTACTTTCACTCAGGATTCATGTCGGATTACATATCGCTCATAGTGGAAATAAGCAATAGTGTGTTGCAAATAACTGCCGTCCCCGCTCCAGTACCTCAGTGTCACCAACAACGAATCAGCTGCAAACAAGCGAGTGTAACAACCACAAGGAGCATCGTGGTATTTGAAACACAATTTCGACCTTGAATCCAAACAGTCCGATCAAAAATGGTTACACACTCATCATCGTCGGTCGTTGCTGAATTGATTGCCTACTTGGCAGACAGCTACCCGCGACCGGCAGCTGGGAATGTATGGCGTCCCTACTGCGATTCTGAAGGGAGTTTGAGGGTCTCAGTAGGTCTTGGGCATTCTGCGATTATTTACAGGAAACTAACCTTCCTTAGAAGGGAGGAAAATTACATACAGTGCTCTTCCTAGTTTCGGTATAAATGGACTTAATTCGAAGGCCAACAGGAAAATACGGAGTTAGTTGGCATTTTGTGTTATGCGACCGTACACACTCTAGTCCCACCCTGTTCTTCTATTGTACCATACACACATAGATCATTAGGACTCAAACAAAGCTTGGAGGGAAGTTCCTAACTCCTGATATTTATTCGGCAACGGAACTCTTGTTTGCTTTAGACTGCAATTTTAAAATGTTGCCATCTTGATGTGTAGTTGATTTTAACTACATTAAATCTTTTCTTCTACGCATATATCACAACTAAAGCATACGTGGAATTCCGTTCAAGACCCAAATGCAGAAAGATTCGTACAGCTGCCATGGGTTTCTGTATCAGTATTTTGTAGTTTATCATCCTCTAGGGTTCTTTGTTTTTACGTGGCTTTCATCAGGTTCCTTCACCACAAGGCAGGCAGCAAACACGACATGGTGCTGTACGTCTGCTGACCTTGAGGGGATGCAGCTTAACAATTTACCGCCATAATCGATGGGGACTAGTGTTGCCGTGGCATTGACATGTTACGCGCCTTGTCCTTTATCTGCCAGTTCTATTCAGCGTAAAAGGTCACTTTGGTGTCAGTCAGCAGGCATTATGCATACAAAATACGAAATACGGAGTCATCAAACCCGTTAATACTTGCACCTGTGGCAATAGCTAAGAGGGAGCACGTCCACCCGATTCGACACCCCAAAGAGGCTGTCGGAAAAAAGGGTTTTTCTAACATAGTCGTGCTTCCAAGTGCGGCCGACTTCAGTTATTGCAGGGTTTCAATAAGGTCGAGGTTTTAATGACGTCGAGGAATTCGGTACTCATGTATTTTTGTGGTAGAGAATGTTGATGCGGTTGTCTGAAAAACAGTGCGTCTGTGTTGAAAATTCTTTTCCAGCTGCTTGAACCAGGCGTGGGGAATGACAAAATTAAATGTGACAGGACTAAGAATAAGAACATTTTCAATCGTCTTGGAATCTACCTCCAGGTCAGACATGTTGAGGAAACAAGAAGTAGAAGCTAGGCGGGGAAGTCTGAGTCAGATAATGCATGTGGAACAGGAGAAATTCAAAAGGGTTTTTCCGGTTATGTAGAAGAACTGAGATCACAGTAAAAGCTTCAAGTTCCCGGTAAACCAAACATGAAGCCTAACAGTGAGTACTCACTTGGGCAACAAGCAGTCAAAGTCTCCGTCCAGTATAGTTCAACTGTATATCTGCTTCATACAAGAGAATCGCTTTAGTTCGACTTTGCAAGGTCTGTTCCACTCAACTCAAAGCCACAAGCCAGGCGACGCCAGTTCGGGTCACTACGACCGATTGTCCGCAGCATTTAGATACAAGCAACAGCCAAACTACCGGAATGAATTTGCTGGTGCATGCATGCAAGTTTGTGTGAAGAGCAGCAAAACGCTTTGCATACTAAACGGAAAGTAAATTGGGATGCAAATAAGCTGATAGTAGGAAGGGGAACTGTGCAGCTATAGTGCCTCCTTTACTTGCGTGTTTTCCAACGAATGGAGGATCATCTTTCGTCCTATATCATCATCACCATCATCATCATCATCATCATCATCATCATCATCATCATCATCATTGTCAGCTGTAAGAACCGCGTACTCGTCGTACAGTAGTTGTAACTGCCACAGTTTCGCTCACCGATGAGTCGGGGAGGTGAGGTAGGTAGCTGCGCATTGGAGGCGGGAGCTGCTAAATTAGCGCGTGGATACAGCACTGTAGGTGGACGGTTAACTGGGGTTTGGGAAGGGAGCTATGCATTGAAGGCAATAGCATGGATGCATGAGCGCCATTGAGGGCGCGACCGGGACATGTCTGATAATGTATCTAGCCATTGATGTGGCCCGTCTCGGGGTCCCCATCCAGGAAAACGGCAATGACCAGTGCAGCTGAGTTTGCTGGTAATGGCTTTCATACTTCACTACCAAGTTATTGTTTGACCTCCTCCGGCTCTCTTCCACCCTTCACGTGGTTGTGCGAAAAGAATCCTTCGAGGGTGTCAGTCGACTGGCATGGAGAGCAGGTGGTCAAGCCAACGCAACCTATGGAGTGTTGTCAGTTCGTCTATCATGGGCGTGTTACCTCTTTTGAAGTCCATTCGAGATACTTCAGCATTAGTGATCCGGTGTTCCAAACAGACTCGAGAAATGCTCCGATGACATCGATGGTCAAACACTGAAAGACTTATAACGTCCTCGGTGCATAGCGGCCATGATTCTGACCCGTATAATAATATGGAGCTCACCGTGGCATTATAAATTCGACCAATAACGAATAAGTTGTTTTCATGCCTACGTAACAGGTGATGCAGGTTCAGGAAATCTGCTCTGCTCCTCCCAGTCCCGATGGAAATATCATCTTTTGTGAGACCAACGGGACTGACACAGACAAATTTAGCTACTACCTCAATCGGCTTACCCGTAAACAGGAGGCTAGGGTTCGAGCCCACCCAGTCTTGCAGCAACACTTTACACTTTGCAGGTGTGAAGAGCTGGCGAAACCATGAGCTACTTCTCACTCGATGATCTTTCACACAGTTGTGTGTGGGCCTTCTAGTCATCAATATCAGTCTGAAATTACTTGTTCTACTTGTTTTGTAGTGAGTAAGTATACTGCCACAGAAACAGTATCTAACCACATTCTTCTATTTGAAGAATGTGACTGGCTGGGAAGCAAGTGCTCATCTGGGGAGCAAAATAATCATGAGATAATTGCGTTTAAAACAGACAGATTTATTTAGTTGTGAGCAACTGAACCATCATGAAAGTATAAAGCAAAATAGTCGGGTGCCGAAGTCATAGGTGAACGTGTTCTCTCTTGACAAACACCAAGAAAGGTATTTAAGCGGAATGCACAACGCATAAGTTGGTACCGAAAGAAGCATTGAATAAGACCAACTTAAGCGGACACCACAAGGGATAGACGACTTCTAAGATTATGTCGTAGTGGGGTGCAACACTGTCATTTAACAGCATCAACAAAGCAAAAGGGAACTTCCGAAACAAATTGAACAGTAGACCGTAGTTCAGCAATTTCAGAGAAAACACTAGGTTAGCTGTACGTTCGTTACACAGTCAGATTTTCACGACTTGACCCAATAAGTACAAAAAGTGTCTAACAATTCATATTCTCTCTTTTCAAATGTGCACTGTATATTATAATAGATCGATGCCTACTGTATACCCCACCGCTGTCCCATATGGCTATTGATCAGGACCGGTGCGACCCTATCCATTTGAAAATGTGTTGGAGATAACCTGTTATCGATCGCATCATCACCATTGGTCTGCCTTCCTGCTACCGTTTCAGCACACCAATATTTTTAACCCACCACATTCCATCCTCCCACTCGCGAACACAGCAGTGTGTGACCTGATCCGCATGGTCGCGTCCGGATTTCCATTAGTGTGGGAGAAAAGTCCACAAGTGATAATCGACCAATCATGAAGCGAAGGGTAGTTGGACGCTTAATTCCTGCGCTACAATGTGCACACAGTACGCGTAGCACGTAATCGATAGTTCGAATGTAGAAACTGAGATTTGCACTTTCTGAAATAAAGTGAACAAACAGTCGACTCGCAAATTGCTAGGCTGTCTTGAGGTAGATGATCCGACAATCTTACTTGTTCAATGTCCGATGTCCGGTTTGTGTTTCGCACACGAAATGTGAAAAAAAAGAAAATTAGAACTGATTTGCAATTGAATTTGCTGTGGATGAAACAAATCTACCTGAATCTCTCGTTTGTGGTATTCTTCAGCAGAAAGTGCTGCATTTACTGTGGCCTTTTACAGTACATACATTTGGAGAGATTCAAGAAAGAAAGAGAAGTTAAACCGCTTCTACCTTCAACACCGAGCCAAGGTGCAATCAAGTTTGTAAAGATTCTGGAACCAGTCCCCAAAAAGCGTTGGAAAGAATTTACTCCACTTGGTTTGATCGAGAGTTGGGCTGATATTCTTGGGCTCGATTCTCGACACCGTATCGTGCTGGATCAATTACTTTAGTCTTTTTTTGTTAACAGGCGTGTCATACGTGGTGTCACTTCTCAACATGGTCCACTCCAACGAAGCACCGAGTTCACTCGCCAGGGTTCGGTCTTAGCATCCTGCTTTATGCACTAATACTGTGGTGTTACCGAAAGTTATTATTCTCTTTTTAGTCTAGGCCGAGGTTTTACTCTAGGCTAGGCTCATGAGTTCACGCTTTTTGTCGTTCAACAAGCACAGAACATTTCAGTCGATAACAGAATGTTTGGACTAAGAAACAACCACTGTTTCCTATGATCCTTAGCCACTGCGAACGCGTCTGCTTGTTTGTGAGGTTATCTGTCCATTTTACTGATGTTTCGTTCATATTTTCTTGCGAATTCATGGCTGGTCATAATTCTGTCACACAGCATAGCACACGATGCTCAGCACATGGGTTAACGCACTGTACTTTTGTCGCACCGAAGTTGCGGCAGTCA